AGCCCACGCAGACCAGCATTAAGCAGGTAAAGTAAAAGTCTGATGAGAAATCAACTTTAAAACAGAAATGAAGTTAACTTACCCTCCCAGCTTGTAGGTGATTAGATGTTTGTGTGTTGGGGAGCAGCAAGCCATATGATTGGCAGCAGATAGGATGAGAATCACTGGTCGACCCCCCCACCCCCCCACCCCCCACATCGTGCCCTGTTGTTGACATACAGCCAAGCCCCTCCTCTCCTGCCATAGCACCGCACTACCCTCCACCTCCTGCACTCTCTGGACGGCTGGCCATGGTTTGGGACTCTTCCCTCCTCTCCTGTCCATCTCCTCCTCTCCTCTCCTTCTCTCTCTGTTCCTCCTGGACGTCTGCAGCACCCATGAGGTTTGTCCCCTTGTAATTGTAGATCACCCGGAGCGAGGACATCATCAAGGTCATAGTTTCAGATGAGTAACTTGAGCTTTGCATTGAACATATGAAAATACTGAGGCAGATTTAGTCAGTTTTACTGTTTTGTCATTGTTGCTGCTGCTTATAGAAGATGCATTTTTGATCCTGTAGAAAGAGGAGGGGGGGGTCTGTAAGTTGTGCTGAAGTTTACCTTTTCTTGTAAAGAATTAGATTTTTAAAAGAAAAGGGGTTGTGGGGATATTGGCCAAGAATTTAACCAACTTCTTGCACTGATTCAGAATTTCCTTTTGTTACCACGGTGTCATTAAAAATCCGACAGTCTTGTTGGGACTTATTATTTTCTCCACACTCTGCTTGTCGTGAGACGGTGTTGCTGCAGGTTGAGATGGTTCGAGAGACACCTGCAGCTCCTATTGTGGTGGCCAGATCTGCTCTGTGTCAATGGCTGTGACACCAGAATGGAATCACGTTACTGCACGGCTGTACAGTAACGAAACAGACCTGAATCTTCTCCTCAGCTCTGTGTTAACAAAAGGTGACAGCATCTGGGTGTCCACCAAGTGACACAGAGCAGAGAGACAGGGAGAGCAGGGGGAACCTGTGCTTGTGTGTTTGTGGACATGTTACTCTGTTACCCATGTATTTGTGTGTGTGTGTGTGTGTGTGTGTGTGTGTGCGTTTCTATGCCGGTGCCCTCGCTGAATGAATAGCCTTCTGATGAGCTGTAGCGTCACTGTTTGAGTGTATTCATGTGGAGAAACTTTAAAAAGTTTCAGTCTCCACACAAAAGCCGGCTGTCCCTCTCACTTTTTGGAGCACAATGACTGAGGAGAGAGCGAGAGAGACGGAGAGAGCAGGCTTCTGAAATCAGAACATGATGACTAAGCAAAGACCTACAACCTCAAACTGTGTGCCACTCTGACATAATTGGTACAGATTTAACAGATTCAATTATCTGTAAATGAAATAAATCTTATCAGGGAGAACTGTTCCCTCTGCGGCAGATATGAATATACCATGGATAACATGTTTTCAGTGCTGCTAAATGTGAGTGACTTGTATGTGAGGGCATTTTCAGGTCAGCAGTTTGGTTGCTGACTGACTTGAGAGGCTCGGTGTCTTGTGACCAGTGCGACCATGAGAGGAGTTGGAGGTTCTTGTGATGTCTAAACAGTGTCAGCCGACGCTACGTCTAATGCATTTACTGCGTGTTTCTATGCGCAAGTGTGCTCACACAGGTCTCCACACCCAGCAAATATATAGGGAGTTCAGTGTTTGAAGTGGCCGAGCAGAACAAACATCCTCCTTTCTCCTAAATTCGACATGCACCCACAGACATGTGTACACACACACACACACACACACACACACACATGCACGCACACATACACAGAGAAAGAGAAGAGTGTTGACACTTGTGTGAAATTACATGGTTTTCCTCAGTTGTAGACAGGCATTAACACACAGAAACATACACACAGGCACATGAGTGTGACAATCCGTGACCGGAGCTTTCAGTCCACTTGGGCTGATTTCCTGAAATGCCTGATGTTATCAGGACTCTCTGAGAGGAGCAGGCAGCGGGACAGAGGCTCAGACAGGTTTTTTATGGCAGACATGAAGTAAAAGGGAGGCCTGTGAGTCTTTTCCCTTTGGGTTCTCCTTCTACTGCTCTTTATTTTAATCTCTGATGACCGCAGTAATTAAGCGGTTTAGTTGTAAATACGAAAATTCTTTCAACATGTTTCCTCAAGCTCGACCAGCGCAGCGAACGAGGGGCAATGAGCGGTTTAATTCCAGGATTTGGCCCAAGGCTGAACAGGGTCATTAGGTCAGTGACCCATTCTCAGGGCAAGTTCAGACAATCATTTGTTTATTTTTGAAGGAGAAGTGCTTCCGCAAGTGAATTTTGTGCTGATAATCAAAAGCTGGCCTCTCGTAGTGCAGCCAGACAAAGCTGGATTCATCTTGTGTGATTATTTATGATCAGAATATTAACAAGTAATTTGTCCACCAGGTTTTTATTCAGTTGATATCGTGGTTGTTGTTTTGTAGCATCAAAATGTATTTTTTCCTCTTAAACATGGGAACTTTTCTCAGCCTTGAGAAAGCTTTCTCTGCAGGTTGTTTTTCCAAAATGAAATCCTCACTCCACCTTGTGGCCACTTCATTAAATGTACAAATGAAAGGTTCAGTGTTAAAGCAGCAGAAAAGCGTGAACACAGCTTTAACCGGTTTTATTTTGTGGCAGATTTATGTTTTCAAGGCGTTGAACCTTCTCTCTGAGTTTTTTGCTGAGTTGAGTTTATGATGCAACAGTTTCCTAGTCCGTCACTTCTGACCCAGTACGTTGAAGATTGACCACTTTCCTTCACCCTTGACAACCTAACTGGAGCGTGTCATTCCCGGTCACTGGGTCCAGTCATGACAACGGCCGGCCGTCCCAGTGTCCAGGGCCTCCCCGTGTCCTGCCTTACCTCTTCTGTTCCTTTCTGACCCGAAATCCAAGCTGACCCCGTTCACGGGCAGCACAGACCATCCTGCTGGCCCACATCAAAGCCTCACTCATCCCAAACCTGCAGCGCCAGTCCCCCTCATTCTCTCTGCCTGCTCCATAATCACAGCAGGTCCCCCTCTCATTCAACCGCCTCCAATAGGAAGCCGGCTATTAGCAACCTGACCCACTTTTCCGATTGCTAACTGCTAGCACGGCTAATTGGGCCCTAATCACTTCCTAATGGCTGCATTGTTTCAGGCTGCTCTCACTAAATGCTAAACAGGGAGAGAAATGAGAGGCGGCGAGCGGGTGCCTATTTCCAATTAGAGCATGAAAGCTGGTATAAAAAAATGAAATAAAGTGGAGAGCCAGATGAGAAAGGGGGTAAACAGGCTGAGTGTTTAATATTCCATGTAAATGCTGACTTAATTAGACAATATGAATAACATATAAATATGGATTGAATGTAGCTGGTGTGAATTAAAGCACTGTTTGAGTAATATGATCATTTTCCTGTGGACATATGACATGCTTGTCATTTTCATATGTAGTTGAGCATCAAAGCTTCTTTTTCCACCACAGATCAGATCATTTTCTCATTTCTTATTTTCTCTCTTTATGCAAATGTTAGCTACCTGCCAAACAAGACACTGTCACTTCCTTGAGTTTTTGTGAAAGAACCAAAAAAAAATCCTGCACACAGTCGATCACTCGACTCAACAATGAACACAAATGAGTTAAGGTAGGTCTAAGGTGACTTCAGTTGCATGGGAAGGCACAACTCTGCAGCAACAGTGACTTAGGGTGCATTGCAACAGAACTGTTATGATTCATTCCACCCAGCGCTCCCTGCCCAGCCCCTCTCTCACTGGCCGTTGGTGTTTGAATATTCAAATGTTACTGGTCTGAGCTCTGTGCTGCTGGTGGCCGCACTCTGCACACAGACTGACAACCTCAGCAGCCCTCAGGACACTCTAGTTTTCATAGTAGTAAGGCAGTGACTTACTCCAGGAATCCCAGCTCTTCTCTTGCTCATTCAGTCTGTGGTAAGTTTGTTTGTTGAGCTGCTGCTCTGTGTTTTTATCCTGTTCATGAATCTAATTTATGAGGGACTGAGCACTTGTAACCAGATGTAACCAGACAGTGTTTCTTTGTGAAGCAGAGGGATGCTGACCAAAAGCAGTCCATATAAGTCCAAGCCTTATAAGTGCAGCAGCACTGCTTCTTGACTCGGCCTGCTTGGCAAGACTTTAAAGCACTTGAGCCTGCTCCTCATTGTTTTTATAAACAGCTTGTGATGGGCTCCTCTCATTGTTAGTGCTGAGGGTTTTTAACCGTTTTGGTGGCTTGCCTGAAGGAAAGTAATGGCACGTTTGGCTGCATCAACACAGGCCACCTCCAGGCCCTTATAAGGTGACTTTGTGTGGGGTCAAAGAAGACTCACCCTCAGCATCTGGTTTCTCTTCTGGCCTCTAGATCCTCCCTCTGCTCGACTTTTCCTCCTCATCTGCCCCTTCATATCTCAGTGTCTAATAAAATGTCTCTGTTCTGGTGCAGATTCCTCAGAGGGCACGACCTCACAGCCGTCGGTGATGACTGAGCATGCTCCGTCATCTGCGGTGACCGTCAGCTCCTCCACCAGCATCCCCGCTGCTACCTCCGCCCTGCTTCCTCCCTCATCTTCTTCGTCATCCTCGTCCTCCTCTTCCACAGCCATCCCCCAGCCAAACAGCAACGGCAAGCCGTGGAGGAGCAAGTCCATGAGCTCCAAGCACACCTCCTCTCCCTCTCCCTCCTCCACCAGCACCCCCTCATCTGCCATGCAGTCCGTCAAGCAGGAGAAAGACGCCTCCTGTAAAGCAGCTCCAGCAACTGAAGCTCCTTCTAAGGCCGTCACTCAGAAGTCAATGTTGGAGAAGCTTAAGCTCTTCAACAGCAAAGGAGGCTCAAAATCTTCCGCCTCCTCCTCCTCGTCCAATGGAGTAGGGGCCCAGACTGACAACACTGCCCCAGCCAGACACCTCGGAGCGGGGCAGGTGGAGAGAGCCGAGACCGGCTCCAACACCGACTTCCCCGAGGAAGATGATGGTAACGTCCGCCCGGGAATGAACGGGACCAGCAATGGTACGCCCTCCGGAGCAGCACCCTCAACAGGTACTACTGTCTCCACCACTGCCAGCAGCCCCAAAATCGCCCTGCGGGGCATTGCCCAGCGCACTTTTAGCAGAGCTTTGACTGCCAAGAAGAGCTCAGTCAAAGGCCCCGAGAAAGACAAGGACAAGGAAAGGGGGAAGGAGAAGGAGAAAGAGAAGGAGAAAGGGAAGGAAGTGGGGAAACGCACCTCGGTCCCCGACAGGACAGAGCTCAGGGGGGAGGAGCCTAAGGAGGAAGTATCACCTGTTGCTGTAGAGACAGACAGCTCAAACAAAAGGACCTCTAAAATCGCCAGCTTCATTCCCAAGGGGGGTAAAGTGGCCAAAAAAGAGAGTTCCACCCCTGCACACAGCGGAATACCAAAGCCAGGAGGCAAAGCCCCGGGAGTCGGGGGGAAGGCCTCCTCAGTGAAGGAGGCGGGGGAGAGGCCTCGGAGCATGCGGTTAGGAGGGGGTCTCGCCATGCACCGCGGCGCCATGGACAGAGACAGGGACAGCAGACACTCCAGCTCTACCTCCAGCCTGGCCTCCACAGAGGGAAAGAGCAGCGCCGCCCCTGTGGCAGGAGGAGGCACTACACAGAGCACAGCCAGCAACACGGTCAGCGTGCAGCTACCTCAGACGCAACAGCACCATAGCCATCCCAACATGGCCACCGTCGCACCTTTCATGTACAGGTGAGAACACACACTCTGACACATTCATTATTTAACTGTGCAGCACTGATTTTATCTTTATTTAAAATCTATCGTCATGTCCTTTTAGTATACAGCTTCAGTTTCAACTTCAAAGACCCATTAATTTACAATTCATACTCAAAAACAATATACATATAAATTTATGATCTACAAATATTTAAAATACAAGCCCAGACAACAGAAGCAAAAAATACAAACACTTCTACAGCTCCATAAATTGGGAAGATGAGGATGCAGATCAGATAGAGAAACTAAAAAATATAAAGGAAGTACAAAATAAGATACAGCACAGGTTTGCATGTCTTTGTTTTGAGCTTCATGTGCACTAGTGATTCCCTGAAGAAGGGTGATCAGGAAGGTCAAAGGGGAACTCACATCAGAGTCTGTTTACAGGTCTTGGTATCACTCCTGCATATGTGGCTTCACAAAGTTCTGCATAGCATCTAATAAACTGTTTCAAGTGATGTCACTTAAATATCTTCAAGCTGAGTTGGCTGGCCACAAAACAGCAAGTTAGATTCTTCAAAAACTGATGAAACAAAGTCATAAACCATTGCATGTTGCATCATCTTCCTCATACGGCACATTTACCAGAATTGGTAAGATTGAATTCTTCAGTTACTACTACTGGAGTGTGTTTGTTCAGCCATTTACCTGTATCTGAGCTTTAAATAACTGCAGCTTGGTGTTTAACCCTGTATACAACGCTGGTGTTGTGCAAGTCAAAGTTTATGAGAACCTTTGTTAAGTCTTCACATATATGACACTTTGTTTTCTGACGGCGTCCGAAAGTACAAAATCTGAAAATCGCCATCTGTGAACTGTTAACCAGGAATGTCACATCTGTGTTTGTGTGTGTTTGTGTGTGTGTGTGTGTGTATTGTCAGCCTGAGTGTGCACAGTATCTGGGCAAATATGTGTGGATGCTGTGTGCCTCTGACCTCTGTCCTGGTCCCAGTGTGATAAGGAAGGAGGTCCCTCTGGTTCTCAATGAGTCCTTTCTAACAACCACTCATTAGCCTCCTGACACTTCCTGCGCCTCTGCCCCCCTCTCCCTCTGCACACTCTGGCCTGTGGCTAGCCACCCCACCTCCACAAAACGGCCCCATCCTTACTGCTGAGGAACTTTCTCCTCTGCTGTATACATGTCACATACCATTACCAGCAGGTTTACACCACCTCCACCTGTCAGAAAGAGCATGTTTGATCTTAAATAAAAGAAATTAGAAATGTACAACCAATATTTTCTCTCATCTGTCAGTGACAGTGAAAGAAAAAAAAACTATTAAGTCAGTTAACCAGGAGTTTAGGTGCTGTCATTTATGCGGAGCAGTGTGTGGATTTGACTGGCTCACGCTCAGAGAGAGTGTGTACAGTAGTCAACAAGGACAAAGTCTGGGATCAGGCAAAGACCAAAGGCTGCATATAACCGAGGCATTCAAACGTCATCGTCTCAAAAAGCTACCAGCCGGCGCAGCGGCTGCACTGTATTGATTTTTATCCTTCAAAGATAAACTTTACTGGCATTTGGGGCTTAGCAGGCGTTCATTTTGGATCCTAGTCACAAGACTGAAGCCCAGCAGATTTAGTTCTTAATCAGGTTTATCCCTCTTTCGTGACAATTTGCTGAATATTAGGTTCCCACTAAATGCACCATAATTCAGAATCGATGATTTCGCCACTTTGATCCCTCGCGCAATTTGTTTCCCAAGATCCCAAACAGACGGCGAGGGAACAGCAAACACTGAGACCGGCTCAGGGGGAAGAGGTGGAGACGGTTCCTTTACCAAGAACAGCCAGCCCTCCATCGAGGACCTTTCAGGTGGGTGATCAGTCACAATATGGGATGTGTCTGTGCCTCATCACTCTGGTAAATCTGTCTGAGATTGTTTTTTTGTTTCATTGTCTCACTCAGGTGAAGACCCAGAGACGAGGAGGTTGCGAACTGTCAAAAACATAGCAGACCTGCGGCAAAACCTGGAGGAGACCATGTCCAGCCTGCGAGGAACTCAGGTCACACACAGGTAATTTAACAAACCCGGAGAATTGTTTCGACTTCTTTATCATGTACAAAATGTCACAAATAGAATATATTGATCCCATATTGTTTCATAAAATTAAAGTAAAGTGATATCATCTCAGGAAAAAAGTATGGATAATAACAGAAGAAGCCATGTTATTCACTGCACACTGCAAGTGGGTAATTATTGTGTGGAGAATTACTGGTAATTTATAAAGCTAGGTAAAAAAAAAAAAAAAAAACTTTTAAAAGTGATTTTTCTAAAGCAACTGCTCACAAAGACGTGAACAAAACGCGTTCCAGTGGAAACAAAACTCTACTGTTTGGGGATCATCAAAGTGAAGCGCCTTACAATGGCTGCTACGGCTGAGTGGTAAACAGGCTAAATCAGGCTAACCGGTGGGGATTTGAGTCAGTGACTGAACTGCCTCATGGTCAGCAGACTGTGTCTGTTGAGGTTTACAGGTATTACCTCTTTTTCTTTCTTCTTGTCGCCGTCTCATCCTTCTTTTCAGGGACCTTTGACTTTGATCGCGGGGCATGTCTTTCATGTCGTCTTTGATTCAGGTTTTAGCTCTGATCACGTTGCCTCCTACAGAACCCTGACCTCTGCTCCGGCCTCGCGTCTCAGCGCTGACCCAGCTGTCTGGATCGAGTTGAGGCCCTGTCTGGAAGTTATGCAGTTTGCTACGAGTAGTTTGGCAGTTTGTTTGCCTGCTCTTTACTCTATGCTATGCTCCGTGCTATTGTGACAAATGTAAACAATCATTGGAGATGACTTTCTGTAACTATGAAACTACAGGCTGAGATTTAACACCAAGTCATTAAGCCGTCTGTGGAAGTCATTAAATATTTCCTCAAGTGCTTCCTAGTTGGCTCAGTTTACTCTGTCAGCAGTGTCGTGGCTTTTTCTACAACTGCAAATGAAAACCTCATCCTGTAGATGTAACTGTTGTCTCCTGTTTTTGAGTGATGGCTGGTTCCAGTCTTGGTTTTTTGGTAATAGGTCCGTCCTTTTGTTTACATGTGAATCACAGACTGTGCGTTTAATCCCCCCTCCCTCCCTGTCTCTTCCTCTACCTGCTCAGCACCTTGGAAACCACCTTCGATGGCAGCGTCACCACAGACATCAGCAGTGGCGGCGGCTGCAGCGGCAGCAGCGGCGGCGGTGGCGGCACCAACAACAGCAGCGGGGGTCGGAGCATCCTCAGCCTCACTTCTACCCGTCCCTCCCTGTCGTCATGGCGACTGGGCCAGTCTAGCCCTCGTCTGCAGGCGGGCGACGCCCCCTCTTTGGGGAACGGCTACAGTGGCCGGGTGGTCGGTGGCCAGGGAGGACGCTACCTGTACCCCGGGCACCTCCGGCGGCAGCTGGCTGGCAGGGGAGGAGCCCTCTGCAGCGTGGACCTCGGAGACAGAGCCGGGGAGGACATCGACCTGGACGGCATCGCCATGGAGGTCACCGGATACATGAGCGACGGAGACGTGCTGAGCAAGAATGCGTCGCGCACTGACGATGTCACCAGCGGGTAAGTGGATTACACTGATGGAAGATTGATGATGAAATTGCTGAAGCTGAAACTATTAATCAATGAGTCGACAGAAACAATTAATCAATGAGTCGACAGAAAATGAGTTGACATCAGTTTTGTTCATTTCTCAAACGTTTGCTGGTTCCTTCGTCTTTTATCAGTGTTGATAAAACACCTTTCACTTCTGGATTGTTGCTCAAACAAAACAAGCAATTTAAAGACGTTGTCCTGAGCTATACGATAAACAACTCAGAAAGAAATGATGAAATAAAAATAAAATTATATTATTATTTATCGATAATAAAAATTATGATTTCAAGATGATAACTGCAAATTGTTCTTCTGTAATTTGAGCTGTGTTGCATTTTATGGAGAGTTGCTAACTTGATCCACAGTGTCAGAGTAAGTGAGTTAACACAGCAGCTGATTCTGAATTCAGTCATCAGAAATCTGCAAAGTGACATTCATATTTATGTGATGACTTTATATTTGTAATTTTGGCCAGTAAAAAATGATTGAAAATTGAATTTTGACAACCTTGATTGGCGAGCCAAGAAGGGTATTTCAGACACTGCTTATACTGAAAGCCCTATTTATATAAAAAGATATGCAACATATACTTTGATATAATTAAAAACAATTAGAGAGAGTAGATACAGTAAAAAAAGAAATAAAAAGGATAAAAAAGACAATAAAACTATGAGAAAGCATCAGTTCTTTTTTAAGTATGATTTATTGCTGTCCTGAAAAGTGTTCATTCTAAATTTACTTCGTGCCACTATCATGATCATAAGTTTATAATTAGATTTATTGTAACATTACAACAAACTGAGTATGAATTATTACCTCATAAAGAAAGAAAGGAAGAAAAAGAACAAACCTTCAACACTGTGTAATTTTCATGTGATTAATTTGACACTCTTGGCTGTGAGTTTTCTTGAACACAAGCCTACCAGAAGAGGGCAGTAGTGTTACTTGCTCCTGCGATCCAAGTGTCAGGTGATATCCCTCAGTTTAGCCTCAGTAGCATAAGCAACATTTATTCTGTGTGGCTCAGATCCCACAGGTATCCCATCTCTCAGTCTGCAGTGGCAGAGACACTGATATGGCGATGACCTGTTTATTTGCTCTCTCAAATTCAGTGTCCATGTTGTAACAGGCCCCCTGCATACTTTGGCTGTCATCCTGTGCAATTTAAACTTCTGCTGTCATCGTTATTATCAGATGAAGCTGTGAACGGCGCCAAGTCGCCCTCAGATGGCATCGAAAATCCAGAGACAGCGAGACAAGGATCTGATCATAGAGCTGCTTCAGTGACCAGTTTAAATTCATATGAAAGTAAAAGCAGAAGAGACTTTATGTATTTGGTGAAGCAAGGCAATTAATTAACACACACACACAGTCATCTCTCTCTCTCTGGAGGGGGAATTACTTCCTCTGACCCCCAGTGCATTTGCACTGATTCACCAGCCCGGAGGCAGCTGTACAAGTCAAGGGAGCTAAGTGTTCTTGAAGTGCTTGATGTGTGTAAAACTGTGGCTGAACAGACAAAGGCCAAGCCACAGCCACACCTGGACAGGTGAGTGATGTGAACAGGTGAGCGGGGCCATTTGCTCGCTCTGAAAACTTGATAACCAGGCTGGATCAGAGGCAACGAGGAAGGAGGAAGACAGAACATAAGAAATATCTTTCAGAGAATTTCCCTGGTGATCTGATTATTCAGACTGCAATTAAACATTAACTTTCATGACCAAGTTTTCATGTTTCAATTAACTGATTAATCAATTAGTTTATAAAATGTAAGAAATTATGAAAAATGCCAGTCACAGTTTTCCAGAGCTCAAGGTAACGTCTTTGAATTCCTGCTTCGTCCGACCAAAACTCTAAAGATGTTCAAATTTCACTGGTATCAAGCAAAAAAAAAGCATCAAATCCTCATATTTGAGAAGCTGGAACCAGCGAATGTTTTGCATATTTGCTTGACAAATGACTGAAATGATACATTATAGAATTTGTCAATTAATTTGCTGTTGTTTCCACACTATAGTAGATTGAGCAGATTTTATGACACAGTGAAGAGTTAAGGTTGTTTTGAGCTGGAGCTGAACGCTTTAAATGGTGGATGCTTGGAATCTGCAGATGGACACTGCACTGTAATCAGTGTTGCTACGACTGCTGTTGTGCGTGTGTGCGTGCGTGTGTGTGTGTGTGTGTGTGTGTGTGTGTGTGTGTGTGTGTGTGTGTGTGTGTGTGTACACAGTCCATGCTTGGTGTGTGTATTTGATGCTGTCAGCTGTATGAACCCAAGAGAGGAGGTGATGGATGTCTGGCCAAATGAGCGGGTTGACTTGATTAGGCTCAGTGTGTGTTTGGGGGGGTGGAAGCTGCAGAGGCATAAAGTGTGTTTGTGTATATGTGAGGAAGTGTGTGTGTGTGTGTGTGTGTGTGTGTGTGTGTGTGTGTGGGTACAAGCATGTGGGTGTGTGTATGGTGGGTGGAGTCGCCCTGTGGGTTAACCATTTAAAACAGACATGGACTGATGACCTCCCCCTCTCCTCCACATCCTCAGGCCACTGAGCAGTTTGCTCTGTCATGGGCCTGTCAGCATCCACTAACTGGTTCTTCCACACAGAGGTGGGATGTTTACCCAGAGAGGAGGAGCTGGCATTCGGATTACAGCCGTAAACTCTGACAGTTAAAATGTCCCTCACAAAGTTGTGGAACTTCCATTATCAAAAATCAGCAGACGCAGCTCTTTCCTGCAGAACTCGCTCTAACTAAAAATAATGAATGCATTTTGAGAATGAGTTTTCAATGCTACAAGCACCACAAGTTAAACTCCATTCACCTTGAGCCTGAGATCTCTCAGCACATAAAACTAAAACGATCTGCAGCTTATATCCACGTTTCTCATGCTGCAATGATTAGTGGATGAATCAAGAAGTCAACTGAAAGAAATTGAATCAAAACAAGTTTTATAACTGATCAACACTATTTCACTGATTTTAGCTTCTTAAAGTTTAGGCTTTTCTGTGTTTTATATCATTGTAATTTCATTATTTTTAGGTTTTTGACGTTGGTTGGACAAAACGAGCAACTTGAAGATGTCAGATGTGACATTTTATCCACTAATGGATCATTTGAAGAAGCAACTGAGCAGTAATTGAGATGCTCAACATTAATCTGTCTTGATGGTGAATTTACTTTGTGTTCTACGAACCTCACAGTAGACAATGTGACTGATGACACCACATTTAGTGTCTGCAGTGGTTTTCCTCAGTCTCCAACCCCCTCCTCTGTTTTTGCTTTTGGCTCCTCTGGCCCATGGAGACCAGGACTCCCCCCTCCCCACCTCCTTGGCTCGGGGGTATGTTGCCCGATCTACCCCTCTGCCTCCCCCTTCCCTTCTCTTCCCTTCCTCCCATCCCTCCTCCACCTCCACCTTTCGTAGACAGACCCAACCTCCAGCCAGGAGGGAAGAGCATGTGGAGCTGAGGAGAGAGGCTGCATACCAACACTGAGCTCCCACAGAGCAACACACACACACTCACACACACACACACACATACACATTCAGGCTACACATGGACGCATAATCTGTACACGGAGAGTTCACTGATGGTGCGCACTCACTTCTGATATCAGCATGGTGAAACACGCTCCCACCTGGTGATATCATTCAGCAGATATATCGCTCACAGGTTGAGACCTGATAACAGACAGTAGCCAGACGCTTGAAAAAAACGGAAACCTCTGCATTGGAGATTTTTATCAACAGGGATCAACCCTCATTTGGACTTGTTTATTTTGCTTTGGACTAACTGTGATACCATGTTTGAGGCAGAAAGGTACGTCAGAGTTTTTTAACCCATCAACAGAAATCAGAAGCTCTAGAGGCGATTGTTTGTTTTCTCCAGAATGTGGCTTTTCGTGAATTTCCTCCACAGTGCACACATTCTTCGCCAAATAGTCAAATATCTCTGCAGCTTCATTCTACTCAAGAACTTTAGCTTGTGTTACTTGCACGGCTGTGTAAAGCTGCTCAGTTTCAGCCCATAAAATATCTTGTTTGGACACGTTTCTCCTGCTGCAGAAGGTTACAGGTTAACAGGCATCTGAAACAGTGAGAGAGGGAGGCTCAGTTACTCATTAGTGTGAAGGAGTAATACATATACAGTATACATGTGTGTGTGTGTGTGTGTGTGTGTGTGTGTGTGTGTGTGTGTGTGTGACTGCCGGGCCATGCTCAAGGTGACTTTGCTTTGGGATGATGGATGCTTCCCATGAAGGACAGCTAACCCCCCTCCGAGAGGACGCTCTGTGACAGGATCCACTGTCTTCATTGTCTGTATGAGTGAATGAGTTTTATCTGCCTTATCGAACTGACTGATCTTGAGTTTCCTTAAAAAAATTGATCCAAGAAAGATCCAACTTGAGTGATGGTTGAGTTTCTGATTGTAACCCTGCAGCATAAGGACGGTTTGTTTATATTGCCCATGCCTTAAAAATACAGCGTGAGACATACAAACACATTTTAATGAACACTGATGGAAAAAGCAGCTGTGAATGTAAAGGTTTTTAATCTGTCAAAATCAGGCAAGTCTTCCGTCATCTGGAAGTTTGCACCAGGCTCTTTGGTGAAAAAAAAATTCAGAATCTCCTCATCTCTAGTTTAGGCTGTCGGGAACGATTAGCAGACTGCTACCAGATGACCTGAGAGAGTAGCCATTCATTCATGTTCTGGTGAGAAAGTGCAACATCTGCTACTTCCAGGTTTGCTGCTTAAACAGTTGTGCTCTCATGCTGCTGGGTGCAACAGATTATTCGAGTCATTTATCAAGAAGAAATTACAAATCATTTCTGGTTTCAGCTCGTCAAGTGTGAGGATTTGCTGATGTCTTTGTTTTCAGCTTTGTAGCCTGTGTTAGATCATTGTGTAGGTTTTCCAGGCTGCACAGAAATGAAAGATACAGATTTTTGTTTTTTCTCAGAAAGCTGGTAGAGACCAAACCAGAGCTGAAAGGAGTGTGAATGTGGGACTTAAGTTCATCAGCTGGACTCAATCACAGCTCCAAATTAATGCTAATGTTGCTTTGAATCTGCTGGATCTGTTAGCATAAACTCACAATATGTTTTCAGTTTATGTTTTTGCACTAAAGTGGCCAAAACACAGTTAATGCAACTTTGAAAGTGATGAATTCATAATCATAGATGCAGCTGTGAACGTTATAACGGCTGCAGTTTGCTCTCTGCTCAGCGACTTGTTGCTGTGTCGCAGCTCAGATGTTGATTCTGTTTGACTGCAGGCTAAACAAAGGGGCTCTGTCTATAGGAAACACTGTACTGTGTGTATACTGTATATACATGTAGGTATAAATGTGTGTGTGTGTTTGTGTGTGTGTGCTGGATTCCCTGAGATCCACACAGAGATAAGACAGAGAGTGTTTTAGTGGCGGGACTCTCGCTGAGCTTATTTTTCTACTCACTTAACTGCACAAACAGAATCATCACAGTCCCACACAGAGAGCATTCACCCAGCCTCAGCTTTGAATCAGCAAACATTTCATTGAATTACACCTGGGCTGTATGAGCCAATATGTAGTTCCATTAGGAGTCTCCTCCTCGGGTAAATATTTGGAGAATTAGTTAGTGTTGTTTTAGTTTGAATGGGAATGTTTGTGTTAGTGTTGAGGGCCTCAGCATCAGCTTCAGACTGTAGCTGCTGCTAACGGTCAGCCGCGACTCCAGCTACCAATAAATCAGGTCCCTTCAAATGTAATTTTCCATTATGAAATGAAGTGAATGACCTACTTATCCCGCACTTGCATATACAGTATATTTTTAGCCTCTCTTAATGCTCATTTACTCAGTCCATCATAGTATCCCAGCCTGGAGTGGATGATGGACTCAGTGTTGTGTGATGAATGGCAATGTGCTTCCTGTAGGAATAAAGAACAGATTCATCCTCTGTCTAACTGAGCTGCCGCTCCTCTTAAAGACCGCCTCTGTTTACCGCTGGCCACATGAGAGAAGTGTGTCTTCAGTCAGACAGTTTGCTGTCTTCAGTGTTTGTGTCGGAGCCTTCTGCCAACCGTTTAGGCCTGATTGATGAGAGCTTTGCCTCAGCTGGAAAACTGGATGGATGTGGGCTCATCCTGCTCTATATACAACAACAGCAGCTCTGAGAAGAGGAACTGAGTGTGTCAACTCTGGCCAAACTCTTAAAACAAAGTGTGGTACTGCACGACTTCAAATCATCCTCTCTGAGGCCTCTAATTGTGCGTCTCAGACACGCTTTACGGTGCCTGTGTTTAATATACTTTGTTGTGTTTTGCAGCTATATGACCGACGGAGGTTTGGGTCTGTACACGCGGCGCCTGAACCGCCTGCCCGACAGCATGACCGCCGTCCGAGAGACTCTCCATCGAAACACGTCGTCAGGACAGGGAGATGCTGACAGGTAGGTCTGAAAAAAACTTCCACCACTCTTGGACTGAAAAATAGTCTTTTTGAAGTTCACATTTTCTGTATCTTTATTTTGTTATGCACGACCTGTGAGCATGAAAAGATGCAGCAAATGTGAATTTCAAGACTGTTTTTTTTATTAACTGTGAACCAGTTTACCTTCAGATAGAGTTGCAGTATTTGCCATTTGAAATGCAGCAGGTAAACGAGGGTTAGCATGAGGATCTTTCAGTGATGATCTTTCAGAAGGGGAACTTCATGTGTTTGCTCATTTGTGGCTCAGTCAGCTGTGTGTGTTTGGGCAGAGACGGTAAATATCATTAGTCTATGAGCTTGTGGACGCGTCCTGTGCTTGTGATGCTTTCTGGTCCGCTTCCTGCCTTTTCCTACTTTTATCAAACTGGAAGTGAAGGTGTGTCATCTTCTGTCCTGGAAGCTGAAATACTATTGATTCCTCTTTTTTTGGTGTCATAAGCATTGAATGAAATACTTCTCAGTTAATACGGTTTATATACCACAGGTACTGGTGTAAAATGGAGTGGAAATAGAGGCTCTTTAGCAGCCAGTGTAGATGTAGAGAGCGTTGGTTGAAACAGAACCGTTTCATCTGCACTTGAAACTCATAAAAAACAAATTGAAAACTGACAAACAGCTAAAACGCCATCACATCCTGTGTATCAATTAATGTTGACAGACTATCGTAAAAATTTCACCATGAAAACATCTTGCTGTTATAGAATGGAAAGCATTAAATAAGATTTAGTATTTGTCTTTGACTGACTCTCTGTCCGTCGTGCTCTGGCTCCATCGTCTCTCTCTAGTATAACGATATAAAATGTTGAAAGGATGATACTGCACAGGTTTTGCTCAGACTTGCGCCGCCACACAGGGGAGCTCTGTGCCACGCGCCACACTGCTGACATACAAACTGATCCTGAGTGTTGAAAAGCAGCAGAGAGACACGTGTTTCTGTTGGTGTTCTCAGGATGTATAGACCACAACATGCAGTAAAGAGAGAAGACTGGCTCAGTGTCTGCGAGTCTGTGATACTTTCCGGAGCGCCCCGCGTCGGCACGAGTGATTCGGTGAGGCGCTGCCGTCTTTGTCCTGTCACAGAGATGGAGAGGGATTTGGTTCTTGGCTAAGTGACAGACGGAAATGGATGAAGGCCGAGGCGCAAAATAAAAGGATGGGGGTGGTGGGGAGAAAGAGAGGCAGAGTAGGGGGGGAGGGAACATGCTTGATATTAAGATGGACTGCAGAATGGATGATGGTGGCTACAAGAATAAATGAATGGAGGATAAACTGAGCAAAAGAAATTCATCATTTTCTTGTGCTTCAGAAAATTAAAGTTTTAAACGAAAGCTTTGCATTTATTTAAGTCTTAAAGTGACGTGTCACTCAGACAGACGTGCTGTAGTAGTTTCAAGTGCTTCAAGCAGCTTTTCGCCTCTAAATCCTCAGGTGTGGCTAATTTCCTGTCTTCCAGACTTTTGACCTTTGCCCTCTTCGCTGGCATTTACCCTGCATGCACACACACACACACACACACACACACACACACACACATACACACATTCAGTCCTTCACAATAAACTCCTCCTGGCCCTCAGATGGAGCTAAACACAAACTGTCCTCCTCCTCACCTTTCATCTCTCCCCTCTCTTTTCCTCTACCTTGTTTTGATTAGGGGCTGCAGCGAGTAGAAGAAACCAGAAGCAAATTAAATGATAGAAGTTGGGGGATTTCTCCTTTTTTTTTTTTTTATTTATAGCCGTTTGATTTTGTGCTTTCATGTTTCCCTGTGAGGTTTAATTGACCAGCTCGGCAGGTAAAGCTTCTCTATGAACTTCTCATTTCTTCTTTCATGATCTTCAGACAGCTTCATTATCGCTTTCATGAGATTAGAGAGAAGAGCAAGGAGAGAGTTTTAAAATGAAGAGGGAACGAGGTGGCTTCCCCCTCCTCCCCCGACCACACCTCCTCCTCCCCCCCTGAAGGAATGTCTGATAAATGTGCTTACTGCTTTTAGTTTGGGATTAATTAGGAGAGCTGGGGAAGCGGCAGATAACATGCATTAGCATAATAAACCCAAACTAGAGGAGCTGCAGGGGAGAGGAGGGTGTCTGGCTTTCTGTTCTAAAAGATCAGGCTAATTTAATACATGAGAGGGGGCTTAATGGTGCAGTTTGTGCAGGTGGAGGAAGGTGAGCACCTTGGTGTAGTTCATGGGTGTCAGAGGTGTGTGCAGCCTGTATTTGCTCACTGGGTGTGTGAGCCATCTATAAACCTGCTGGAGTTTAAATGCTTTATTTATGTTCTCTGGTTAAAGATGCAGCCGGTAAGGAAGTGGGGGGTGGGGAAAGGTGTTGGGTGTCACCGTGGCATTGGGGCAAAAAACCTCATGACCTCTGGAAGACGAGGTCAGGAGCTTCAAAAGGACGAGGTTCACAGTTGGGAGCTTTTAGTCCTTTAAGTCTTCACGCTGAAAACCCTCCAGATCAGATCGACTCCGGACTAATGAGGAGCTGGAAAGCTGCAGCCAGGAAAGCACGTAGTCGCACGGGTCAAAGTTTATATCATATCACATCATGAGCTGAGATGGTGACTGTTGCAAATGCAAAAACCAGTTTTGCCAACTGTCAAATGTATGTAAAGCAGAGCGTGGAAGCAGAAGAGGGTCACACTGAGTCATGGGACAACAGGAGCTGAGGCTGAGTAAAAAGACAGAGACAATAGAGACTAGAAACTCTGTGTGCGTGTGTGTGTGCGTGTGTGTGTGTGCGTGTGCGTGTGTGTGTGTGTGTGCGCGTGCGTGTGTGCGTGTGTGTGTGTGTGTGTGTGTGTGAGAGAGCACGCTTATCCCTGTCATTTATCTCTGCGGCAGGAGAAAGAGGAAGCTATCTATAATGGTCTGTCTTGTGATTTGAATTCTCTTTGTTAACGCAGACAAAGAAAAGGTCTTTGTGGTGTGAAACCACTGTAGCTGAGTGTTAGAGAGACCCCAGCCCCTCCCCTTCTCGCTCGGGCGTTGAAGATATCATTTCACACAAAGAAGAGAGAGCAGAGCACCACACGATTCTGATGACTGATGCTTTCACATGAAATAAGGATATAAATCAGTATAATGAGGTGGTGGGGTGGATAAAGGATCCTGCTAGTGTTTTAGACATTTGTCTGAATGATCTATCTCTCTCTTCTACATTTGTCTTGCTGGTGTCTGCACACACAGACGTACTGCATGTGCATTATGGGAAAAAAAGAAAAAATCAACAAGCGAAAGATAATCCACTACAGAAAACAGAACGTGTTTATTTTGTTTGGTCAACGTGTGGGAGCGAAAAGACTTAACCACACCAACTCAAGCAGATCAACGCTTTAAATAAAACTACTTAATCTCACGTCAGGTAAAGGCCAGTTCGTCATTATTGAGAGGTCAGACAGTAAGCAGCTCGATGTGACAGGGTTTAAATCAGCGTGAGGCACCTGACGGAGCTCCACAGGGACCAGACGATCTGGTCATGAGCCGCAGGTACAACGAATTAAAAGGCAAAGAAGCAGAAATGCTTAATGTCACAAAACATACCTGGTAATTAGCAAACATCAACAGCTGTCACAAGCAGGAACAACCAACAGGGATAATGTAAGCCTGTTTAACTGCTGTTCTGCTTCTTACACAACAAACGGCATGTTCCAATGACAGAAACGCCTCCCAGCAGCAGGTGCCTTTTAAAACACTTACACAGCCGTCACTCATCCTGACACCTCTCATTGTCTTTTATTTTGTAGACTTAATGCCTTTTTGTAAAGTACTTTGAATTGTGTTTCAAAGGCAGCGTACAAATAAACCTGCCATGCCTCTTCTTGTCTTTGGTCATGAGCCTGTAAACACAAGGCTTCCAGGTCCGTGTGTTGGCCAACATCAGCCCTGCGTATAAAAATCATATCAACGACGCTCTGGCAAAGAAACGTCAGGTGAACCTGGGTCAGCTTTTACCACAACGCAACGTGACATCATCTGGCATCGCACTACATTGATCAATCAAATACATTGAAGCCCACATTCCTGGCAGGTTACTCTGCAGTGTGGATTGTGTAATTCTACTGTGATAACTTCCCTCTTATTATAAACCATTGTGCAGCCTGTTGGCATCTGATAAAGTCAAACTCAAACCAGCCGTCCACGATCGTATTTTACCTTCATATATTACAGACACACACACACACACACACACTTCTCTTACACAACTCCCTGAGATTTATAACATTGAGCTGTTTTCTGTCTGAGTGACCGTTAACACAGCAGCACAGCGGGTTACAGACTAAAACACTCCTTAATCTCATGCAGGCAATGGACAGTGTTAGGTGAGATTTTACTTTGAAGTTACTTCAAAGTAAAAGCCCTTTTTGATTAAATGTTTACATTATTATGATACATATTGTTTTGTCTGCCTCTATTATGTGAAATCACTGTATTACTTAGAGTACAATGGAAGTTCATGTTTCATTGTCTAATGCACAGTATGTCTGGAGGTGTGTGTGTGTGTGTGTTAGAAGCATTATTTCCTCTCAGGAGGGTTATAATCCCACCTGCAACAGAACAGAAGTCGTTTCGAACATGTTATACCACTCAAACACACACACACACACACACACACATTCATTGTAACATACACACACACATGTGCCCCAAGCTCCAGTGTGTTATCTCTTCTGTCTGGACTTGAGCAGGTTCCCCCGGTGGCCTAAGGGAGAAAGAGAGAGAGGTTCACCCTCCTTTATCAGCCCTTCTCCTCAGCTACCAACGACAACACCTGGCACTCCACCTGTCTCTCCCTCTACCTGTCTGTCTCTCTGTCTGTCCTCTGTAACCCCACCTCCACCTGCTCCCCCTGGTTCAGCAGACTGAATGTTGTGGTTTGCCTCCAGGCTCTCGCTGTAATAATAATCACTGGATCGGCCCCCCCCCCCTCTCCTCCTCTGCTCCTGTCGTTT